ATCCTGGTTAACACGGTGAAACCCCATCTCTACTAAAAAAATACAAAAAATTAGCCGGGCGTGGTGGTGGGCACCTGTAGTCCCAGCTACTCAGGAGGCTGAGGCACCAGAATCACTTGAGTCCAGGAGGCACAGATCACAGTGAACTGAGATCTCGCCACTGCACTCCAGCCTGGGTGACAGGGTGAGAGTCGATCTCAAAAAAAAAGAAAAACAAGGTATTTTAGATACTAACTTCATGGGACCGGCCGATGTGTACATCTACCAAAGTGAACCCTGGAGATCTTCAGTCCTCCCTTGGAGCCCCACGAGAGAATGAGATATTTAACCCCCCCAGATCATTCAATGCACAATCATTGCATGCCTACTGTGTACCAGGCTCCAGCGCGGTGAGATGGGATGGGTGCTCATCTAAGACCGGGGAACAGCCTAGAAGCCACGTGCAACCCTGGCCTCCTCCCCAGCACAAATGCCAACCCCTGTGCTACGGTCCCAGACACTGGGGCCACCGCCAAGGCCTGCTCCCAGCCTCCTCTCTGCCATGTCTCAGCTCACCCTGCACCCCAGCCCGGGACCACGCCCAAGTCCAGGCCACCTGCTCTCCCCACAGCCGGCAAGGCCCTGGCCCCTCTCCGCTCATCATTAAACTCCAGGCTTTATTCCAGCACCCCCAGTTCTTTCCGACATACCCCCAGTTTTTTTTTTCAAGACGGAGTCTTGCCCTGTCACCCAGGCGCGATCTCGGCTCACTGCAATTTCTGCCTTCCAGATTCAAGCGTTTCTCCTGCCTCAGCCTCCTAGTAGCTGGGATTACAGGTGGGCACCACCACGCCCGGCTAATTTTTGTATTTTTAGTAGAGACAGGGTTTTGCCATGTTGGCCAGTCTGGTCTCGAACTCCTGACCTCAGGTGTCCACCTGCCTCGGCCTCCCAAAGTGCTGGGATTACAGGTGTGAGCCACTGCGCCCGGCCTCAACTGCTGTTTTCTATCTGCTGTGTGGCCTGTGGCTGTCAACACTGCATCGGGTCCGTTTGTTCCCACAGCCCTGGGACAGACGTGTCTGAGTGACCCCGTTTCACAGGCATGGAAACTGAGGCACAAGGCACTTGGGACGCGCTGCTCTGCAGACCTCTCAGCCCTAGGTGCCGCAAACACATCCAAGCCAGTACTTGTCCCTCCTGAGCCTGTCCTGGCTTGTGATACTCCAGCCAGAAGTCTGGGGACCCCCGCTGCTGCCCCCCAAGCCCTCACCTGCCAAGCTGCCTCCTCTCCTGGCCACAGGAACTCGCTTCCTCCAAAGAGGACCTGCATCCTCTACCCCTCATTTCTGCCATCCCCACCGAGCCCCCCCCCCGCTGTCTCCCGCCTGGAGTCTGCAGCTGCTGCTCCCCAGCCTCACTCCTGGGCCCCTCCATGGCGCATTCCACCCTCAACGCAGATCTGGTCATGCTGGGCCACAGGGCTTCCCTCACTCCTCCTGCTCCGGCCTTGCCATGGCTCCCACTTGCCCAGCTCCTCTGGGCTCTGGGCCTTCCATCCCTGAGCCAGGGGCACGGCATTCTCTGTCAACATCACTTGCTCAGGGGGTCGTTCTGGACCAGGTCAGTGCCCCCTCTCCGTTTTCAGTCCTCCTGACATGCTAAGGAAATACAGATGACCTTTCAACAAGGCGGTTTTGAACTGCACGAGTCCATTCATACATGAATGTTTCCAATATAGGTTGCCCCAAGGGTGCCAGCCTCTCCTGCCTCCCCTTCCACCTCTGCCACCCCCGAGACAGAGAGACCCACCCTCCTACTCCTCCTCCTCAGCCCTCAACATGAACACAAGGACAGAGGCCTTCATGATGGTCACTTCCACTGTGCGAACAGCAAACAGGTTTTCTCCTTTCACTTTTTTTTTCCTTTTTTTTGAGACAGAGTCTCGCTCTTGTCACCCAGGCTGGAGTGCAATGGCGCAGTCTTGGCTCACTGCAACCTCTGCCTCCCAGGTTCAAGTCATTCTCCTGCCTCAGCCTCCCGAGTAGCTGGGATTACAGGTGCACACCACCACGCCCGGCTAATTTTTTGTATTTTTAGTAGAGATGGGGTTTCACCATGTTGGCCAGGATGGTCTCGAACTCCTGACTTCATGATTCACCTGCCTCGGCCTCCCAAAGTGCTGGGATTACAGGCGTGAACCACCGCGCCCAGCCTGTCCTTTATTTTTATTTTTTTGAGATGGAGTGTCACTGTGTCGCCTGGGCTGGAGTACAGCGGCGCAATCTCTGTTCCCTGCAACCGCTGCCTCCTGGGTTCACGAGATTCTCCTGCCTCAGGCTCCTGAGTAGCTGGGATTACAGACGTGCGCCACCATGCCCGGTTAATTTTTGTATTTTTGTGGAGACAGGGATTCACTGTGTTGGCCAGACTGGTCTCGATCTCCTGACCTCAGGTGATCCACCTGCCTCAGCCTCCCAAAGTGCTGGGATTCCAGGCGTGAGCCCCCACACCCGGCCCCTTAGGCTTTTCTGAATATATTTTCTGGTCTCCAGCCTCCGTTATTGTGAGAACAGGAAGCGGGTGTGCACAGACCGGGTGTCCTCACAAGGCCTCCGGTCGGTGAGAAGCCGTTCCTAGTTAAGTTCCTAGCTAAGTTTGTGAGAGTCAAAAGTTGTACTCGGATTTGAGCTGAGTGAGGGTCCACACCCCTAACCCCACGTCGAGGGTCTGCTGTCCCAGGCCCGCCCACCTTACCTCGCTGCCATCTCCCACGGGGCCTCACTGCCCTCTCCTGAGCCCCCCAGGGACAGACCCCTGGCCTACTTTTCTCCAAGGGGTCCTTGTCCTGCCTCCATCCTCCCCACTTTGCAACCGAGCCAGCAGTCCCTCAAGTGCAATCGCGTACATGTCCCAAGGTCAGCCGGCGCTCAAGGGGCCCCACCTGCCCCCTCAAACAGAAAGCCTGGGTTCGCCAACCTCTGCGGGGTGAGTTCCGGCTGCAACCAACCCGCCCCTCCCCAAAGAGCACGAAGACCACCCAGGCGGAGGGGGCAAACCCACCGCCCCCCACTCCACGCTAGGGGAGGCCCAGCAGCCAAGGACGACAGAGACACGGACAGCAACAGGGACGGCATGAGCCACAGGAGGTCCCGGAACCATCCAGGGGCAGGACCCCACCAGAAGAGACCCAGCTGCCCATAAACACCCAGGAAGAAGCCAGATCAGGTTAACAAAAGCACCCGAAGGTCAGAAGGGAGGGCAGGACCCTCGCCCTCCAGGCCCCGCCACGACAAAACCCAGCCCCTGCCCGCCCCCCTCCCGACCAATGAGGGGCAGGGGTAAGAGGGACCCGGGAGTGGGGGGAACCTGGGGCCAGTGCCTGGCACACTGGCAGAGACAGATACTGGACCAAACCCGCTTCTTTCCCAGAAAGGAGGCCTGGGGGCTGGGGAGGGAGAGACCCCGGAGCTGGGGGTCTCTGGGTTGGAAGGGCTGAAAGGTGGGAGTCTGGGCGGGGGTCTAGGGTGGTGGTCTGGTGGCAGGGGGTCATAGGATGTGGTACAGGTGGTGGCAGGGCCCAGGGTCAGGAGCCTGGCAGTGGTGGAGCTGGAGGCGAGTGGTCACTGAAGTGGGAGGCGGCACGGCCGGGGGGTCTCTGGCTGAGGTGGAGGCCTGGGGCTGAGTGGCTGTGGGCAGGAGTCTACCATCTGGACTGAAGGGCAGGCAGTGGTATCCCTGGAGGGGAGCAGCATGGTTTGAGGGTCCCTGATTGAGATCATGTGCTGAGCCTGGGGGTCTCCGGTGGGGGTTAGTGGCTCTGGAGGCAGCGGGGATGACACAGGGAGGGAGCGGCCCAGGGGTCTTGGGGCACGGGGGTGCGGGTGGGAGTGACAGGGTCCCTGGATGGTGGGGGAAGAGGAAGGGGTCTTGGGGGTCATGGGTGGGGGTGGAGGAAATAGCAGGACCCCTGGAGGGAGGGGTCCCGGAGTTCTGGGGTCATCGGCTGGGGGTTACGGACTGAGGTGGTGAGGACTGGGGATGGTGGGGGTCTCAGGTGAGAGGGAAGGAGTCTCGCATCCTGGGATGCAGGTCCTAGGGACAGTGGGTTGGGGTCCTGGAATGGAGGAGCAGATGGGAGTACACGTCCCAGGGTTGGAGGGTCCCAGGGTGGTGGGTAGGGGTGCAGGGCCAGGGCATGGAGGGGACCCAGGAATGCAGGCCGAGTGGGGTCCAGGGATGGAGGGGCCCGGGGTGCAGGCAGGGGTTTCGGCCAGAGGTGGAGGGGCCAGGGGATCTGGGGGCAGAGGTGTCTGAGGACCTGAGGTGCAGGGAGGGGTGAGGTCCAGGGGTGGAGGGTCCTGGACATGGGGTATCCAGGGTCCTGGGGTGCAGGCTGGGTGGGGTTCAAGGATGGAGGGGCCCAAGGGCCCCAGGTGCAGGCCGAGTTGGAGGGTCCCAGGAACGGAGGGTCTCGGAGTGCTGGCTGGGTGGGTCCACGGATAGAGGAGAGCAGGGGTCACAGGGGTACAGGGCCTGGGGTCCCGGGGAACAGGCTGGGGGCACAAGCCAGGGGTGGAGGATCCAGGGAGTCCTGGGGATGCAGGGGTGCAGAGCCCCAGAGTGCAGGCCTGGTGGGGTCAGGGGACAGAGAGGTGCAGGGTGGCAGGGACAGAGGGGTGCAGAGCCCAGGGAACTGGGTGGAGTCTGGGCATGGAGGGGTGCAGGCCGGGTCGGGTTCAGGGCCGGAGGGGTGCAGGGGTGCCAGGGACAGAGGGGTGCAGGGCATTAGGTGCAGGCCGAGCTGGGTTCAGGGCCTGAGGCTGCAGGGGTGCAGCAGTCCCGCGAAGAGAGGGGTGCAGGGCCTTAGGTGCAGGGCCCGGGGACGGAGGGGTGCAGGAGTTCTGGGGCCGAAGGGGTGCAGGGGTCTCGGGAACACAGGGGTGCAGGGCCTCAGGTGCAGGGCCCGGGGAGCAGGCCGGGAGGGTCGGGGCCGGGGCTGGCGGGGTCGGGGCGCCCACCTGTGCGCGGGGATGCGCTGCGAGCTGAGCCCCTTGCCCACCAGGAAGTGCACGTCGCACAGCACCTCGTTGTTGAAGAGGAAGGCGAAGCGCTCCTGCACGGTGGGCTTGCTGGCCTGCCAGTTGTACGCGGCCTCGCGCTGCAGCGCCGCCGCCCCCGGGCCCGCCGCCTCCTCCGCCCGCTCCGCGCCCGCGGCCTGCGCG